TGATTTTCAACCCCTTGAATTAAAGTTGAAAGTCTGCACTTCAAATTAATTTGGATTGTTATGTTTTAATTTATTTTGGTGGTATACAGAGCCAAAAGTATGAAAATTGTGTCTGTGTCCAAATATATATGGACCTAACTGTAGATTCATACGATGGTAGTCATTTAACTCATATAATTGTACGATATTAACTCACGTCTTTTTTTTTTCCATGGCCAAGGCCAACTCATTTTTTCACAATTGTCATCCCATAAACCACACTCCATTTACACATTCCATTTTATATTACGCACTATTCCAAAGCCCTACAATCTATTGAAAGCCCACTTATTTTGTTTTTTGTTTTTTTAAATTCCCACTCTAGCAAGAATCAGTTGTTGCCAAATTTGAGTGAAAATAAGCCTCAAACATTAGTCATTAAGCGTACACACCTTTTACATTGCAATATACCAATTCACTTCCTTGTAGTTTCCACATTAAAATTCACTCATTACAATTGCAATTACAACTCATAAGACTTGATATCATGTTGTTTACAGTGTAAGGTTTCTGACTCACATAGATAAACAAGCACTCTGTTCTAATACAACACTGTTTCCATTCAGTATATCTGTCTTTCAGATACCTCAGCCCAGTCCAAATTTCATTCTTCTGTTCTTTTTTCAGGTGACTTCCAAAACTTTGAAATAATTGTCGAAATGTATTTTCCTTTACATACAAAATGCTTTATTTTTATATTCCTTTGGTTTATGGGTTTTTGCTTATAAAAGAGGAACTTCACTTAAAATCAGACGTTCTGCACATTTTATTCTCTCTCCCCTCTGTTTCCACACGAAGAACTGGGCCAGGTGATGACAGCACTAACAAATATTGGGCTGAAAACGAGCACGACACTCCACATCCGAGAAAAGGTGCAGGCACATTTGTCACACGTAGGGGTGCCCATTCAAGTGAATGGGCTGCCCTATGTGCGAAAAGCGGAAACACAGCGAAAAAAGCAAGCGGGAATGTGCATTCGGGAAATGTGAATGAGGCCTAAGAGGAGTACTATTACACCAGCTGCCTTACAAATGATACTCATTGTACATTGTAATTTGCAGTATTAATAAACTGAGAGGTAGCGCAGACACAAAATACTGCATTCTAATGACCAGAAACTCATAGTCTAGCAGTAAACATGACAATTTTAAGAATCTTGCAGCAATGAAGAACATTTTACTAAGAATAAAACTAAAACGGTCTTTAAAAATAAATAATAACCCCAAGGGTATAAAAAGTACCAACAACGAACCTTCCCAGCCACGTCGCTTACTGCAGCCATATTAAAAAACCTGGGTATGGGAAGACACTCTCCCTACCCTCACACAATGCAGTACTTGATACACGAGTGGCCAAATGCCAGGCACATGTTCTGTCCCATGGATTAAGGGTGGGGATGGGGAGGTCTGGCCTGTAGGTACATAGTGGGTGGTGGGTAGGGTATAGAAGTGAGAAAGGTACGTTAAAGGCCAGTTAATTTAAAAAAAAAAAAAAAAATAAATGCACATGATTTTTGCACCCTGTAAGGCATTGTACCCATGGTCTCAGCATTTGTGGGTGCAATGTCAGGCTTCTGAAGACCCTCAGTACACTGTCTGCCTGTACCTCCCATAAGGGCAGACCGTTACTGAATTGCAGGAACAATCAATGAACTACGAGTGCACTCATCAATGCTATGCGAATCTAACGTGCAGGCGCTGCCAGATGGAAACAGGTTTTGGCCAGAGGTGCTTTCGATTGCTATAGGCCATTGTTATTGGATTCAAGCATATATACATTTGGAGCAGGTAGGTTAGTTTAGGTCAGGAGGCAAACGGAGACCTTTTCTAGGAAATGTGAAAAATAACCATATACATCAATGAACTGGGAGAAAAGGTAGTTTTTCAAAACAAATTCTTTGCACACAATAAAATAACCCTGTTCCCTGCAAGATTGTTTAATTTGTTGGAAATATGATGAAAGCTCATGTGGGAAAGCAGAGGGCTGGTTATAAAGATTATACAGCTTTAGAGGATTATGGGAGATAAAGCTGTATTCCATTCTTGCTTCAATACTGTACTGGGGAAAAAAAAGAAAGAAATAACATCAATAATAAATGCCAGAAAATATGCATGTCAAAGTTCTTCCTGTTTGCTGTAAGCAATAAATTAGCCAGCAGTGAAGTTTAGCATAAAATATATTCAATAAAACAACAACATATTCCTGTCCAAGAACGTTCAATCTATCATGTCATTTATTTTAGCATAAAATCTAACTACCTGCATGCCTTCATACTTGCATAACCAAGGAGGGATGCCCTTATCTAGGAAGTGCCGTCATAAGGTTTTGGGCAATTTTTCATCAAACACTTTCACAATGAGTCAAGTTATGACATGAGCAGGTGTGGCCCTTAGCAAAAAGAAAGGAATCAAACAAGCACGAATAAAGGATTCCTGTTCTGACACACACACATATAATACATGTGAAATGGTATACACAGCTTGTTTTGAAGTCTGGCAACACAGCAACTCTAGAAAACACAACTAGGGTGCCTGAAGCATTGGTTGGTTGCAGCCTTCTTCAATTAATTGTTTTAATATAATATGTATTTGCTCTAATGAATGTCAGGGTTCTGTATATCCATCTAGGGAACTGGAAAAAAAAATTTAGGCAGGACCAGATCTGTAAGGTTTCATGTGAAAGTTCTTAAAGCAGAGTTAAACCCAAAAGTAAACATTTAATATATTGCAGCTTACCAATCTTACATGTGATGGCTGTATTATTTTATTTTATTTCTTTTAAAGGCTCGCATTCCTTTATTTTCATCATGAGTCAAAACATTTACCACTGACAAGGATGCTTATAATGATGCTTTTATGTGAAACCAATATCCAAAAAGAAAAAAAAAAAAAACATTGCTGTAACTGCAGTTTGAGCTGGAGTTCGGCATCAATTTGTTAGTGCATCTAAATCTGCTAGTATATCTAACACGCCCTTCCCCCCAGACTGACAATGCTGATGTCCAAATGTGCCCCCTGTGCTCCTTCTTCAGAGTGAAGGCACTCTAATACAGGAGGTACAGTACTAGCCAGATCACCAGGTAAAAGGGGGGCCTAAAAAAAAAAACAAAACAAAAAAAAAAAAACAAAAACTGATGCAGCCACCACATCTAATGATTGATAAGCTGAACATTACTTATTGCTAAGAATTATTATTTTTGGTTTTGGGTTTAATACTGTTTTAACTGAACCTACATCAATGCTTTCTACTCATCGAAATTCAGCTTCAGTGGACAGAAACATACTGGGCTGACAATTGGCAACTGAATATTCATGGACTGGGGGCACTGCAACTGATTTTCCATTTAAAGCAGGTCTCTCAGTTCAGGGTCCAGAAGTATAGCAATAGCACAAAATATAAATAATAAAAGTGAAGTTCATGAGGTGGCATACATGTCATTAAAATTAATTATACACCAGCAGATTATTAAGTCTAAAAAAAAATCCAATATGTTATACTTGCCAGATCTGTGCAAGTGGTATTGCACAGAGTGGCCCCAATGTTAACACTCCCCCCTCACAGCCATTCACTAGGAAGAACAGTGTGCTGCTACTTCTCTTCCCCCAGCTCTCTGAACTACATATGCATGAGAACAGAAGGTATATGGCCACTTACTGAAAAAGTGAGAGATAAACTAATAAAAGAATAGTAAAATATTTTTAGACCAGTAAACATATTTTTAAAAAACTGGAAGAGATAAAAACTTCTCAGACTTGAACATACAGTATGAGAAATATAGTTCATTTTCTAAAGATGAAATTCATATCAGTCCCTTTACTTCCATAAAATACCAGCTGTACATAAAAACACTTTTTTTTATAAAAAATTGTATACTGCCATTTTTGTACAAAGCTCTTTACCAAGCAAAGTAACTGACCCCGCTATCCTACTCCGCTATGACCAGAGAACCCATCACACAAAGTTCTTCCCTCAGGTAGGTAGTAGCATCTCCCTGCACCACCCTGCTCTCTACACTAGCACACTGCTATGATATGCAAGCTTGCGTGGGAGAAGTCTAACAGGCTTATCATGCAAGAGTGTATATAGCGAAAAATTAGTGCTGTAGCCATACATGCCCTGATCTTCAGTAAAGTGAACTGCCTGCAATGGGTTATTGTAGTTTGACATCTCTGTATTGGTATTGTAGTGGTCATTATTTTTCCTTTTACTGCAGAGATGAGTTACCTTCAGACATTGTGCATGAAAGTTTTCTACCCCAATGTTCACCTAGTAGTACTAAATTTCAGTAAATACCAAAAGTCCTGATCTTTCATCTTCCACAATGTATAAGAAAAAAGTCATTTTTTCTAAAATGAGTATGCTAAATTATACTATTAAAAAAAAAAAAAAAACAAAACATACTGAACACATGGATGCATTGTCTACACGGAAATAAACCCCTCATTTAGTTGTATGCAATTAAAGTCTCACTGAGCTGGGAGGTGTCAGATCCCTAGTCCAGTGTGTCCTCACTAACAATATTTCCTGTCATCTGACTTTTGAACCTGGCTGTGCAAAGCACACAGCAATAAATGTAATTCATTTGATTAGAATGGGGACATTTAACCCATGTCAGATAGAAAAAGGAAGCAATAGGGAAGCGCAACAGAGGTTCTATGGCTTACGAAAAGTTTCCTACACTACAGAAAGCTACGTTTCTAGTCAATGAAATCGGTATGTTTAAATAAGGTTACTGCCAACATCAAGCCCAAAATAAAGAACAATTTAAAAAATCACCTAGTACAGGGTTTAAAATTTCAAGTCCTGAGCTACTAGCCAGGCCTTAGAGTTACTCGCCATCAACAAACACACACAAACAGAGACACCTGTACACACACAGACATGTGTACACACACAGAAACATGTGCACACACAGAGACATGACACACACATGTATACACACACACAGGCACGTACAGACACGCATACACACAGATACATGTACATACACAGAAATACACGCACAAACACATGTACATACATACACAGACACATGTACATACATACACATACACACATGTACATGCAAACATACACAGACATGTACATACACACAGACACATGTACAATTGTACATGCATACACAGACACACACACACACACACACACCCCATAAAAAGTTGCAGTACTTTGTTGTTCACTCACAGAGCCGGGTACTGCACTCTAGGGGGAGGCAGAGAGCACAGCACACACTCCTTCCTTTGCTTTCACTGTGCTCAGCTATTGAGCAGTCTGACGGCTCACATTATCAATGACAGATCCGGTCTGAGCTCCGAGCCTGCTCAGCAAGATGGCCCTGGGGGACACACTTGCCCCCACCATAATTTCCACTCGCCACTGGCGAGCAGGCGAGTGGAAATTTCAAGCCCTGACCTAGTATATAGAATATTACACTACATTTGCATTGCTATACAAAAAGAAACTGGATCACTCAGTTTGTAATCGGAGAAAAACATTTACCAGGCGGTAACTAACAAAAGATGACATATCATCTACATTTTAGTAAATTTATGGCATAAAAATGTTCAACCCAACATACAATATGTGAGCTGCTTGACCTAAATAAATGGCCCTTGAACGACCGTTAGAGATAGAGCCTGTGAGCACTTGTAGGGCTCATTCACACTTGTTGTTCCTAGGTGCTGCGTTAATGCGCGTTGTGTCATGTGTTAACATACACTGTGTAAGTGAGCTGCAAGCACACAAGAACAAAACTAAAAAAAAAAAAAAAAAAAAAACTTACAGCATTTTTTTGTTGTTTTTGGATGTAGTGCACCACAGGTCATGGTGGTGTGTTTATGGTGCATTGTAGTTCACTGCATCACATCTGTATCAAAGTTTTGCATTGTGATGAATGGCCTAGTTTTATTTTTCCAATTGTAAAAATTATTTTTTTTTTCTTTCTAATAAGTCAAACATAAAATACTACATATGAATATGTAATGTTCACCATTCGCACCTAGCAGGTGACACTTTACTTTTTTAACAGAGAAAGCAACGTCTCTACTAGCGGATCACCACAGTCAAGATTTCATATAAATAATAAAATATAAAAACATTTAAAAATGTTGTAAACCATTAAAACCCCCCAAAAAATTTGACCAACACCATTATAGTCTTGTTGCCTGACCCAATAGGATTCTCCTTTCCCCTGAAAAGCCAATGTTTACAAGGCACCAACTGGGCTTTATATAGGATTTACTAACTAATAAAAGCCTAAACTGGCAGATAAACCAGTTGAACCTCTGCGAAGTACCTCCTGAGATAAATATACCACTGGTTGAGAATCTCTGGTATACATTTATATTGGCAAAGATTCCAACATCAATTGTCAGCCTCTATCATATTTAGATTACAAGTCACAACCTGCAATTAGAAGCACAGAAAAACCACATCACTTCTTTTGTTAAGTGAACCTACAATTACACAGCAAACTTTATGCAGGTTGGTGTTGAAACAAAATGACCAGTTATACTAACAAAGTGGCAAAAACTAAAGTGACTCTTCAAGCACAAATAAAAAAAAGATCCTTATGCCAGGCCGACATTGTAACTCAACTACTATTGAAATAGCGGATTTCCATAGCATTGTTGGCACCCAGAAGTTGTGCAGCTGCTATCCTGTTCTCTCTGCAGGTCGAACCTGAACATACCTTAGACCAGTGGGTGTCAACTTTGAAAGTAAAAAGCCTCAAATGTGGCCGCCAATGCCTCCAAAGGGTTGCATATAGTATTCATTGCATGTAAAGCTACAAAAAAAAACGGTCACAGATGGAAGACTTGCTGGAGGAAATGGTCAAAGATCGTTCAACAAGGGTGGTTTGAGATTGAAGTCACTGAAGTTTGAGACAGTCAGAGACTATGGGTATGTTGCTTGAAACCACTAGACTATACTACTGTATATACACACACAGTGCTCAGCATTAATGAGTACACCAACAGATTTGGGTAAAGTAAAGGTCAGAAAACCTTTATTTCCTTTCACAATCAACATTTTCTATGAGACACTAAACTACAAAATACTCCCACAAACGCGGGCCATTTATTGCAAACAAGATTTGTTAATGTGCAAAAATCCTAATTAACATAAATTCAACTACAGGTGAGTCTAATTATTCATTAAACGTCCAGGTCATCAAGGGAAGTTAGCACCTCGACTGGAGCATCTTCTGATGAAAAGGGTTGAAGAAAATCACCATGTAAGTTCACTGCAGTTAGCTAAAGAAGTAGAAAGTCAAACTGGAGTGATTGTTTCACATGAAACAGTATGGCATACACTGTAGAGGAATGGCATGCATGGATGTCGTCCATGAAGGAAGCCTCTCCTAAAGTCCATGCACAAAAAAGCCTGCCTAGACTTTGCCGGGGCCCATGCTGAAAAAGAAAAAGACTACTGGAACTCTGTACTCTGGAGTGATGAGACCAAGATAAATGTTTATGGAATTGATGACTTCAAAACTGCATGGAGCCGCAAGGGTAAACAGTACAAAGAAAAATGCATGGTGCCTACAGTGAAACATGGTGGTGGCAGTGTCTAAGGGGCTGCATGATGCCTACAGTGAAACATGGTGGTGGCAGTGTCTTTCTAAGGGGCTGCATTTCATTGAAGGTATCATGAATTCACAGATGTACTGCTCTATATTGAAAGAGAAGATGCTACCATCAAAAACGAATACACCCCAATGAAAGTGCAACAGAATTCTAACAAGAATTCAGCTACAGGCAAGTCTAATTATTCATTAAACAGGTGTCCAGCAGACAGTTGATTATAAAAGAGTGTTACTTAACAAAGAAAATGCCTTTCCATTGCATGCTGTCAACAATGGCACCACATGGAAGAGAAATGTAACAAGGACTAAGAAAATAATTTCTTTACACAGGAAAGGTGAAGGCTACAAGAAGATCAGCAAAGCTTTACTTATCAGTCAGAATATTGTAGCAAAAGTGATACAAAAATTTAAAAAAAAGGAACAGCAACCATCTCACAGAGAGGTCCAGGCCATCCATGGATGGTAACACCTCAACAGGAACATCTTCTGATGAGATGGGTTGAAGAAAATCGTCATGCAAATTCACTGCATGGATTGGAGTGCATGAGTGTCATCCACGAAGGAAGCCTTTCCTAAAGCCCATGCCAAACAAGCCCACCTACAGCTTGCCAGGGCCCATGCTGAAAAAAGAAGAAAAATACTGAGACTCTGTACTCTGGAGTGGTGAGACAAAGATAAATGTTTTTGGAACTGATGGCTTCAAAACTGTATAGCATTGCAAAGGTGAGGAGTACAAAGAAAAATACATGGTGCCTACAGTGAAGCATGGTGCCTACAGTGAAGCAAGGTGGTGGCAGCGTCCTTCTGTGGGGCTGCATGAGTGCTGCTGGTGTTGGGGAGCTCCATTTCACTGATATATCATGAATTCTCAGATGTACTGCGCTATATTGAAAGAGAAGATGCTACCATCACTCTGTGCCCTTGGTCGTCGTGCACTTTTCCAACATAACAATGATCCAAAACACGCATCAAAGGCCACTGTTGCATTTCTGAAGAAAAACAGGGTGAAAGTGTTTCAGTGGCTAAGTATGTCTCCTGATCTGGACTCAATCGAACGCCTATTGGGAATTCTTATGAGACAAATTGAGCATCACTCTCCATCCAGCATACAGGTTCTAAAAGAGGTTGTTTTTGAAGAATGGAAAAAGAAAGATGTTGCAATATGTCACCAACTTATCTATTACATGCCATTCCATTGGTGCTGTCCTTAAAAATCATGAAGGTCATACAAAATACTAGATGTAGTAGTTTTTGTTGTGGGGTGTATTCATTTTTGCAGCAACTTATTTGAGTAAAACTGACGATTTTGTAATCTAAGTTATATTATTAACCTTACTTACATGTAATAAGCTAAAACAAATGTTCTACAAAGCTCAGTTTTGTCAAAAGTTTGGAAATTGTTCTTGTGTTCACTGAAATGTTGATTAAAATCTTACTTTTCAAAAGAGGTGTACTCATCCATGCTAAGCACTATAAATATATATATATATATATATATATATATATATATATATAAAAAGATTAAAAAGGTAACGTTAAAGTGATACTAAACCTTTGTTTTTTTTTACATTAAATAAACAAGTTATACTCACCTGCTCCATGCAATGTTTTTTCACAGAGCAGCCCTGATTCTCCTCTTCTCAGGTCCCCCTCCAGCACTCCTGGCTTCTCCTCTTCTGTGAGTGCCCCCATAGGAAGCCACTTTCCCAAGCCAACCTGTCTGCATCTATTGATACAAATCGGTGGCTCGGCCCTGCCCCCTCATCATAGATTCTGACTGACAGCAGTAAAAAACAATGGCTCCTGCTGCTGTAAATCTACCCTATGAGGCGGGACAGAATTGGAAGAGCTGCTGCTCTCAGGCACAACGATGGATCACCAATGGGCTCAGGTAAGTATAAGGGGGTCAGGGGGGGATCTGTGACACAAAAAAGGTTTTTTACCTTAATGCATATAATGCATTAAGGTAAAAAACCTTTAGGCTTTAGAACTACTTTAATTAAGAAGCAACATTTAGGCTCGTTCAATATATAAAAGCCTTTCCATCTACTAAAAGTAGCATTTGTGGGTGCGCTGACTAAATAATAGAACAGTTACGGATAAACGAAAAGGGCCAGCTCAGACAAAAACATACAATCACCAGCCTTAATAATCTGACAACCTTGGCAGGAGATAAGCAAAATATTTTGTGTACATTAAAAACATTTTTCTGCTTTATTGTTAGCACTAATATCACATTTATCTCATGCTGCCACAGTGGTTACTTCCGTGTATGAAAACGCTTTATACAAAACATGTTCTCATTAAAACATGGACTTGCACAGGATTTAACCAGGTGCAAATGATCCACTTAAAAGGATGTTGGCAACAAGGGTCACACAATAGGAAGCTACAGTGTCAGACTCTGATAACTTTTCATTTCCTATTGGTCTAGGAGTACAAAACTTGGATGTCAGCCATTTTGGTTTCCCAAATGCAATGGCAGTATACATACATGTGGAAAACATTATCTGAAATATAGTAAAACAATAACATTTGCACTGAGTCTTCCATTATCCAGATTGTGGGAAAAAGTGTAATCCTGGAAATCTAAAGGATCTGGGAGGGGGTAGGTGGGTAACTGCATTTTGTAGATTTAGAAGAGGCATAAACAAAAATTCAGATGAGACTCTTGTAAGCAATATTCTTTTACTGTAAAACAAAGCTTTAATCAGTCATAACTTACTCT